CCCGTAAGTACCCGGATGATATAGCAGAAACCTAGACTAGTTCGCGACTTGTGCTGCGCAATTCGTAAGCGCATTTGTCACTTTTATTAATATTATTAATAGAAGAGGCACACAAGAAAGCCATGATATCAGTGTCGGAAGTTATCAACAGCAAGATACTGAAAGAGAAGAAGATCTACTAAAGGTGTATACCGATAGTCTTCAGGACACTGCACACCCAAACCCAGACTATAGGAGTACCAAGTTAAAAAAGAAAATTAAGAACTACGAGCCCTACCAAGAAAAATTGGTATTTTGTCACATGGGACATTTCCAATCATTCAACAGATTGATGTTGACTCAGCCGTACGAAACGCCTACCAATTACGTTCGACTGACACGCTTGCACTTTTCTTCTTTAACTTTGTACTCCTGTAGTCTCTCTTTCTGTTTCTTGCTGTTGATAACTTCCGACAGTGATGTCATGGCTTTCTTGTGTGCCTCTTCTGTTTGATGCTGTCTAAGTTGTTCCTACGGTTGAGAGCTCCGCCATTTCTCAGGAATCTGTATGTAACCAGTTCGGCACGACTTGTGATATTTTGCTTCACAGGTAAATAGGTCCTTCCCTCTGATCCGCAGCAGGAGAGGCTCATCGTTTTGACGTTGAGCTACTTTGATGACATGCTGCCATCCATCCCAACTGAAGTTTGTGAGGCCTTCTGTTGTCCAGCTTCCTTTCGACTTGAATTTCTTTCATGAATACGAAGTACAAAAGATGCAGTCAGGTTGGAAGATAACGGGCTCATAGGATGGACGCTGAAATGGGTGGCCAGCTAGTTCCAAAGATTCAATTTCAGGTTGTTTCAAACGGTCAAGGTTCATTGTAAAACGCTGATAATATTCTCTGTGATAGCCATGGGTTTCTTCCAGAACTGCCGGCAGGCTTGTACATGACACTTTCATTTGATTTGGCGTTTCTAGAGGTTCTGCAATCCTTCTACACTTGATCTCTCCTTCAGCTTTTCCATCTTCTCATCAGGATCTTTGGCTTTGCTCAGTCGTTGTAGTGGGCCATACTTCAAGCCAGGCACGTGTATGATGCACACTGGCTCTTGATAACTGGGGATACATTTCCATTTAGGTTGAGATGTCAAAGCTGTCTTCCAGTTGTTCCCGGTTGTATAAGATGTTGGTCTCAGTTGCAACAGTTCAACCTCAAAAGACACATAATCACGGTGATGACATTGTTACAAGGTGGGACATTTCCATATATATTAACTTGGGTATTCTGTAAGAGAATCTTAAGTATGTAATTGGAATATCATTTATTTCTGTGAATGCATGGTCCCTGTTCATTTCAAGCCATTCATATACGATTTGGACGATTCGCATTTGGACATTTTCTGTAAATTGGAAACTCAAGTAGCTAAGTTATGTATGAATAAAATGTTCGTAAGTGAATTGGTCTTTTACCTTCGTTGGTGCCCCCTTCAAATTCACCTTAACTAGTAGCTGTACTAAAGAATCTGAAACTCAACTTGAAATGGCAAAATTTGTCAAAATATCAAGCCTGCGTCCAAGAAATTGATTTGTATATTTGCTGAAATAAATAACTTTTACATTATGATCATGTTTTTTTGCACAGCTTTATGGTTGCCATCTTGAATATGTAACACATAGGTCCATTTCATTTAAAGTTCTGAAATGGACTCGAGCATTATACTGTGAACCTCTTATATGCATACAAAAGTGAGTGAGTTGTCAAGAACTATTCTGTATGATTGTCCACAAGTAGATCAATAATCAGCCTACAACAAATTATGGTGTTTATATATGGTTTCCTATGGTATATAACACATCAAGGTCGGTGAATAACACAGAAGATGACAAGCCAAATCCTGAGCATACATCCAAGCGTTGTTCCGATGTAGCTAAGCCGAGAATGCAATATTGGGTATCCTACTCTGATATTATAAGAGTAAATTTGTTCCAAATTGTGCAAAAGAGTTTCACCTAGTAACATCAGATGTTAAGAAGTACTTCAAGAGATGTACTGGAACATGTGTTTGAAGATTATAGTGGAATCAGGTACACGTACCTAGAACATATACCGGATTAAAGGTTTCTGCGAGAAGAATTTGGTTTTGTTGGGATATATGGCGTTCGATTTGCCATGGGTTGGTCCATATTCACTCATATAGTGGATCACTAGTGAGATGACAACCCAAAACGTAATGATACCCCCAAGTGATATACGGCAAAACAGGGCGAAAACGCGATATAGGGTACCATACTTTGAAAGGCTGTAACAACAAGTTCGTCCCAACTTTTTTCTTGTTAACATTCAAAATCATGTTTAGTATGTTTATGGGCTTTAAAAAAAATTAGTGGGGTTTGGATGTGTGTGTGGGGGGGGGGGGGGTTGCCATCACTTCCAACATCTGCATCTTACACAGGATAAGTTTCCAAATGTAAAGATGAAGCCTGTGGAGGCTGTCATGTAATAGGACCATTCTGGGCTGATGTAGAAGATCTTGGTGCTCCATTAGTTTAAGTGTTTTTATCATGAGAAGCCCAACAGTCTGTGAAACATTGGCCAGCCAAAGAGAAGCTTTGAGAATCATAACACAATCCATGTCCTCCAACTTCCCTATCACTTCTCTTGGAGAAACAATGGAAGGAGCGGGAAAGCAAACATTCCTTCCCACCTCATCAATAATACATCTACTTGCAGGGCTTGTAGATCTGGAAGTGCACTGATGTACACAGGGAGTTTGTGGCAAATTTATCCAGCTGAGGAGTATCCTACACATGATCGGCAAATAAAAGTGTGATCTCACTCATCAAACTCACTGATTTTGTTCCCTCTTGACTTTGGATATATTCTACCACTGTGGTGTTGTCTGTAGCCACCAGCATTGAAAGTCAAGAGATGCTTCTATGTCTCAAGGGTGTGGTAGACTGCCCTCATCTCGAGCCAATTGAAGTGGAGATCTTTCTTGTGAGGCTGCCAGCTTCCCTGAATTGTCAATTTGTCCATTCATGCTCCCCATCCCGAACTTGAAGCATCTGTAAACATGTGATGTTCGGGTGCTGGGAAAACTAAAGGAATTCCTGTCATTACATTCTGACGGTAATTCCACCAGATTCTTAATCAGGTTTAGCGGGAACTCGACCAGTTATATCCAATTGATAGGAACTGGAAATCCTCCAATGAAGTGACTTTAAGAGACGATTCTGTACTTCTGTGATCTTGCTCAGAGTCTTTAGATAGCGATCCTCTGGAGGACATGAGATTCCTTCTGCAGCTGGAATCCAGCGCCGACACACAATATCCTGTACTGGCTTACCTCGGACTTCGTAGGACGAACAAGCAACCCCAAGGTCCGACAGCAGTTGGATGACATAAGTTGTATTGCTGAACTAGCTGGATATGCACAAATCTGACAATCGGGTCTCTGACCCAAGCAAATACCCACAGAGCTATCGATCTGCCAGATTCCTGTCCAGTCTCTATATTTGTGTAGCCAAACTAGCTGGATATGCACATACCTGACAATCAGGGCTGTGTTTGAGCTTGAAATTCAGAATGACATCCGTTCACAGCAAACCAGAGATCCCATACATCCAGGATCCAGGATGAATAAGTACAAGCTGATAAGCATCCTGGAGATCCAAACTTATTAACAACACCTGAGAACAGTTCACAGTTCCCTGTCAAACTTGGATGGATAAACTAGAAATTTCTCATTGAGAACTTTAAGATCTATCATCATACACATGTATGTAATATTTTCCTTCAGTACTAGAAATACCAGAGGATGAAAGCCCTTGGTGAGATCTGTATTCTTTAGTTCCTGGACAGAATTCTTGTCTTAGCAGCTGGAGACTTGGCCAAATGTTAACTTGTGCCGTTCAAGATGAAATCAATGTCTAACCTGGACACAAGCACTTAACACTGCTGGAAATGGAACTTGTATCCGTCTCTTACAACACTTCCTCCCACTGGTCTAGGAATTGGCATTAGGAAGAAGTTCGGTAGTTGAGGGTCTCAGTCCTTACACAAAGGGAAGTCGATAGGGTTTGAGCCGAGATGCATGGTTTCTGTACAGTTACAGACGATGATAACCTCTTGCCCTAGTGTCGGTCCTGCCTCCTGCTCTATGCTTCTGCTAAAAATGGCTAGAGCTATCCCTTGTTTTGGTGCTGAGAGGGCATGAACATCTATCCTTCCAACTGGTGGTCTTGAATGAATAAATCTCCTCTTGAAAGATCCTGAAAGGCATGATCTCTGGCCTACTCTCCAGGTCTCTTGGGTTGGAATTTTGGAATTTTGGGTTGAATTCACTTGGGCTGAATGATAAGCATTTGCTGCCAAGTTGATGGTAGAATGCTGGAACCTATCCTCATATCTTGTGAAATAGTGGTCAGATATCTCCTAATATGGCCTGCATATCTTCCTGCTGCCTCTTATAAGCTGCTCAAATACGCTGAAAGATCGGGGTTGATTCAGTGGCTACTTCCCTGAGTCTCAGGTGCTGCAGACCGTGACTTCACCTTAGGATGGGAGCGTTTCTCTAGAGAAATTTGAGCTACAGATGAAACAACCTCACTGACTTTCTAGCCTTCTTTCAGACGTCAGCCAGCTAGTTAAACAATCTTATGGAGAGCAAGGCGTACTGTGAGCACATAAAAAGACTGACTTGAGCGAATCCCTGCACCTTAGCAGGTAGAGTGCAGATCTCCTTTGACCTTTTCCTTCCACACTCCTTGCAGACTGTCAGTGAGATTGGTGATGGAGATGCCATCATTTGCACAACACGTCACCAGCAACTACTTACACGACCAAACCAGTATAACCAGTTTCTTATTTTCGGCAAAGTATCTGGATATGAAGGTACAGCTGTAACTGGAATAATTGTGCCAGCTGTTTTAAAAAGATATTCACCTACTTTTTCACTCACCAAGAACGACTTGATAATGGAAAAGCAAACCAACTAACAGGAAGTGATTATTATTACCCTGTTACAGTTCTGCAGTCATGATCAAGAATAAGCTGGGCAATTGAAGTCACTTGCAGTGTTGTGTCCAAACCCTCTGACCCATGAACCAGTACTGTGGCCCCTGCAAAGTTTAAAAACAGATTGAAACATCTGCAGAGACGAGAAAGTTGTTACACAAATATAGTGCCACATCACTGTAGCTCACCTGGATAGGTAGTCAACAATTTGAAAAACAAAGACACTAACAAAAGTTTCTGTCAGCATTGATATTCAAAATATGTTCTGCATAAATGCTGTTGAATAACACTAAAATCTTAATATGATATCTTCATAAGAAAGAAACAAACATTCCAAAGTTCAGCTTTTTTAGTCTGGCAATTTCAGAGAAAAAGTTAAAAGAGACAAATATGCATTCTGAGAGAATTTAAGAGCATGGCCAAAACAAGGTCAAAACTTTATAACAATACGAATGATCATCAGAAGATGACAAATCCCCCGGCCCCCACAATTTCGCAAGAACAAATCATCTGATTGTTACTTTAAGTCCAACTTGATGAGAGAATTTCTATCAAATCTATCTGTCCATATACAAGAGTAGTTATCGACCTATCAAAACAATACTATGGAATTGGGATTCAGAACTTTGTTCATATTGGTGTGTACCTGACATAGAAATACAGAGTAAAAATCAAATTCTAAAAATCCCTAAATAACAAAAGTTGACAACATAGTATTTGTGTGTGAACAGTTTAAAAAAAAAGAGTACCTTTCAGTTTTTGAGATATGGTCTGGGCAATCACACCACTATCAACAGAGTCAAAGTCAAATTTGTTGCCATGGAAACAGGAAACTTTGTTGCTTTTTTTATATACCTAAATAGCAAAAGGCATCACTTCAGCCCTTGATTAATACATGTACCAAGTTTGTCTGAAAAATCAAACAATAGTTTGTCATTGTTAATAATTCTAAGAATACTACCTCTAATACATCTCTGCCATAAATCCTGTATTCTGACTTCAGTCCCACTAACTAAAATTTTCAGATTTTCAAATGATGTCTTACACAATGCCATACTTTGACTCATTAAAAGTCATATTTGTTGTAGATTGATGATTCTATGTGATCATGTAGTTCTCGCAATCACGTGTGCGGGAGCCTTGACGGTGACTGGTCAAATTGTTCCATGTGAAAAAAATAACCGAAAATAGCAATCAGCTGCACCGAAGTGCTACGCTTAGGGTTATTATTATTTTAAATATATTTAGTAAAATCTGCAACTAAAATAACAAGATATTGGAATATATTAATCCTGATAAAAAATAGGTTCAGATACAATTTTTCCCGATCCTTGCATCAAAATCCTTTAAAGTTATATCATTGGGTAAGTTTTAACCGAATCACCGGTAGATTCCAAGAAAACATGTGTACAGCTGATTGCTGTTTCTGGCTTAGTTATAAAAAAATACACAAGGTAATCTTAATCCCTGGATGTAAAACAATGCCTAGCAGAACAAAATATACAATTTAAAGGGTAAATCAACATGTCTGGTGATTTTTTATCTCAAATTTCAAATTTGTACTAACCAAGTCTCTTATCACCCATTCCTTTACCGGAATTCACTAAAGGGGTATGGTGTAATTCTTTTCTGCGCATAATATTTGAAATATATATATTTTTTTTAAAATGAATCTGCTAGAGGGGTGTGTGCACTATACGGTATTGGTGGATGATAGTTTGTGCCGCAACAATAGGCCCAAGGGAATATATGCCCTCTGTGTCCGCTTTTTGGTGAAGGTGTTTTGTGGGGCCCATCGACAGCTAGAAACTACTTGTTCTTCTGAGACTCATGTGGTCTTGTGGTAGAGCGTCCACCCAGAGAGCGGAAGGTCCAGGGTTCGATCCCGGGCCGCGTCATACAAAAAGACGTTAAAAGATTGTACTTGTTGTTACCCTGTCTGGCGCTCGGCATTAAGGGGCTAAAACAAGGACTGGTCGGCTCGGAGTCAGTATACTGTGTCTGAGTGGGGTATTCATGTTAAACTGCGGCATGGTATCTCAGTGAGCTAGCACTATAAATCGGCATCAGTCCGGACTAGTACAAGCAGCCACACACACACATACACGTGCATGCACGTCGCTATATAAGTGCAATAATCTTGGACGCGACGTTAAACCCAATTTCACCTCACCTCTGAGACTCATGTCCATGAAGTGAGACTCATGGCTAGGGCTCTGATTTCGTGAGCTGAGCAGGATCCAATTCTGAGCCTGTGTATAACTTAATGCAACCGTAGCTTTTAGCCAGCCCGCTATTGTAGCCTTGGTGATATCCTTGTTGGAATTAATCTTGCAAAAATAAGAAGAGTTTCCTTCGATGGCGTCTATCTGGGTCTGTAGCCACGAGACAGAACTTGAGAGCTCTGATGGGACGTAAGAGTCTGTCTGGATGATCCACTGTTGGTCCCGAGGCATGAATGCTACAGTGTCTATGGCCCAACAGTCCCATTGTAGTAGATTGATTCTTGGCTACGAAGTCTTGAAGCAATATTAAGGTCCACTGTTGGTCATGGGTGAGACTAGTATAGTCTAGGCATGTAGTTCTGAAACTCTTGCTGCTGTTGCCATGGCTAGGAGGAAGGAAGCTTTAGCCATGGGCTCGTAAGGTTCCGTTAACAGTGCCGATAGTACCACAGATAGATTCCACTTGGGGAAGAGCCGAGGTGTAAAAACATCTTCTTGTAGAAAGGATCTCATTAGTCTGTTTAGAATGGGATGGTTTCTGATTCCATCTGGCAATTGAAGAAACCTGCCAAGGCAAACAATCGTGTAGTCTCCATCATCAGGGAGCTGGACCTGGTTCCTCCCTGTGTCTGAATGTAGGAACTCTAGGCTGTGGGATCGTATAGAGTTGATCCATGTCTGTGGAGGACATAGCATCAGCCTTCCTCTGAAGGTCATATTCTGTAGAGACATTAAGTTGCCTAGAAGAGACATCCACCACCTTAGAGGCATGCTGGGTTGACTTGAAAGTGATTGAATCATCTTGATAGTCTTGTGGAATCAATCCTCTGGTGTTTAGTTGGAAGCTTGCTCCAATGTATATGATGTCTAGAACTGGAGTGGTCTTGGACTTGGAAGGACTGACTAGGAAGACTAGGTAGGTCATAAGTTGGACAAGATTATCATGTTCTGACGTAGCTGAGCTTTTTTCTTGGTCTGCTGCTAAGAAATCGTCCAGTTAACCATGGATTCGAACCAGCTGGAGGCTGTTTAGATGATGAAGATTTGTAGTCCCAAGGAGCTTCTGGGGATGGGAAGATCCATAGGCTTTGGCAGCTAGGTTGATTGTTGATGTTTGGAATCGTTCCGTAGTATCTTGTCTGACTTCATCTATCACATGTCCCAATTTCCCGTTGAATGTCGCGGGAGCTGATATGGGTTGTGACATTATCAACCTCATGGTTTGGTTAGAGACAGCTCTGGAGCAGATCTGAGATAAGAGTTGTTGACGCTATACCCATAATAGTTGTGAAGACATCCAGACTTGGGAGGAGAGTAAGTCTTCTTGCATCATGACTATGGTGTCCAGTAGGCTGTGGATGAGTCCGACTTAATCAGTCCTAATAGACATAGGATGACCGTAATGGTGGTATGATGTGTCTGATTCCAGCGACAAACCAGTTAATTTAAGCACCAATATCCATTGAGTATCTTGAAACCGATGTCAGATCCTTAATCCGCGAAGGCGGTAACGTGATGTTAGTGTTGGGGTTGCATCACAACTTGTTGAAATACTCATCCATACTTGGAAATACCGGAAGTGGAGCCTCGTGTGTCCTATATAACTTCCGCTTCAATGGAGGTAAGGGTAGTCGTTCACCATGCTTGAGCTTGTGTAGACTATCAGACATCTGGTCTACTACCTTGCCTGTGTATCTAGGCCAAGGTAATGTCTGATGAGACGATGTAGGAGCATGACATACCCCATATTCCGTCATCTGGGTTGGTAAATTCTCTGTCACAGGAGGTTGGAGTACAGGCATAAGATGGTATAATTCTTCTATTAATTCGACGAATGTACAACCCTCCATGTAATCCCACTGGGGTGTGTCCTCAGCCTGATCCTCCGAGTGACCATGGGTAGCTCCTGTGGAGGGTGGATAATCATAGTAATCCTCGGTGTCTACACCGTCGTCCTCCAGTGTCCAGGATTCTAGTATGATTAACCCTCGTACGGCTGGTGGTGGTCTGTAACAGTAGCTATACGATAGCTATCTTCTTAGTCGACGAATCTGTTGGTTGAATGTTTGTCCGTGCAGCTGGCTTGGGAGCCGCCAGTTGCTGGAGATCATATGGTAAGCCAAATGGCTGGATGATCGGCATGGAGTCCGTGCTGTAGCCGTACAGTGTCCTAACAGTCAGCTGGCTGGGTTGCCATGAACGGCTGGCCCATGGAGTCTGTGCGAAGACCATACGTCTGTTGAAAATCTGAAATTTTTTATTAGTGTGGCTGAAGCCAAAATACAGAATTTAATGGCAGAGATGTAATAGAGGTCGAAGTTTCGTTAGCATTATGTTGAAACAACACATACCGCCGTTACAGATAAGTCTAACTTGTTTCCATGGAAACAGAGAAAAATCTAATTTTGAAATATTCCTGAATAGCAAAAGGCACAACTTCAGCCCTTGTTTAATACATGTTTCCAGGTTTGTAAAAGCTTTTCACAGTTTTCAAGTTGTCCTCCGGAAACGACACCTACACCCACCATTTGGGACTAAGTCCAAATTGTTTATTTGGAAATCGAGAAAAATAAAAATGCCAAAAATTGATAAATAGCAAAAGGCACCACTTCAGTATATGTTTAATATATCTGCAAAGTTTAGATGAAGATATTGAAAGTTTTTTTAGTTGTGCTACGGAAATGGAATCCACCCCCTTATGAGACTAAGTATAAATTGCTTATTTGGAAAATGAGAAAAATAAAAATGCCAAAAATCTGTAAATAGCAAAAGACACCTCTTCAGGGCCTGTTTGATACATCTACCAATTTTCGAGTTGCGATCCAGAAACAGACAGACTGACGAGGCATCGACTATATCCCCCCACATTGAAAAACAAACCTTACCTGACTTGAATACCAAATTAAATACTTTGAACAAACATGACTGAACATGGCCATCATAATAATAATTGTTGGGTGAAAAGCAATTTAAGAGATTTTAAAAGCATGATCCAAACTGCAAAGGTGATAATTTACCCTATCACAAACATGTTGAGTCCCACTCCTGACAACACACATACCAAATATCATTATGGTTTGAAACAAAAGGCAAAGCAGATTCAGCTTTTAGCAGATTTTTGATGCCTCAAACAAACTTGAAACAACATATGGTGAACATCTCCCAAACCATGTTTTAGACCTCTGGCCTTTAATACAATTCTATTATTCTAAGACAATTACATATAATAATCTTAAGTGCTGCATATAAACAAATGTCTAGCTGAAAGGAAATACAATATTGAGATTTGTCTTATCACCTAATTCATATTTTCATTAAGTTTGTTATATCCAGTTTGTTCACCTGCAGCGATATGATGTAGTTTGTGACTACAAAATAGCAATTTCTTCGAAAACTTTTATTATACTCAAGTGTGCAATAAACACAAGAAAATATGGTATGACCTTCACTTTGACCAATGTGGTTTCTGACCAGTGGCCCTCCCTTGGGTGAACCAAGGTTCATTTACCTGCAGATATTGCTTCAGGTTATTTGCTTCAGGCTACTTTGGCCCTTGACATGACTGATCAAAATGTGTCAAACTTTTATCAAGGCTGTAATGGAGACATACATTGAATGATATGTCCGAACATGGCACCAAAGCATGGCTGCAGTGGCCAAATTCAGGCAAAACCATATAGCCTCCCACTTACGTGGGGCTGCTTCATGACACTTACCTTCTTTATCAACACACTGAGCAACAACACAAGCACATGTCAGGATGTCCTTCACGTGAGTAAGCCAATTGCTGGATTCGAACTTTGACAACCATTTGTCCATGCTGGCACCACCATCACTAGTAGCTACAATAAACAAATTGTTAATTTAAACCTGGTACTTCTTATGCAAGAAACAACAGGAGTGGTAAAGTAGAAATAGTGTGATATAGTGTGCCAGTGTATATTGTGATTTTATATCTGATGATAGTAATTGGAAATTTCATTTTCCGAGAAAGCTATGGGACTGATTGGTTATTGAATAGAAAGTACATGCATTTGTAGCTTTGTAAACAGTTGTCATATTTGGTCCACTAGTTCTCAAATGTCTCGATAATCTGTTTGTTGTTCAGTTATACTACATGTATTATTTACAACTTGAAATGCATGACATTTATCCGAAAGTTTACCGCAACAAGAAAACAGCGTTATCACTATCCCCTGCAATGGGGCACATTAGAATTTTGTTTGTTCATATAGTACTGCATAGTATGGAAGCTAATGTTAACTATAAAAAGGTCTTACAAAGCCTAAGAAAAGATAGGCACTAGGTTCGCTTTATGCCATCAGGATTTCGATTACATAAAATAAGTGAAATAAAACATCAAATGGAGAAGGAGCATGATTCTAGAATTGGATAATATAATAAGTTTTTTTGGTTTGTTGTTTTATGCTACACTCAGCAATATCCCAGCTATATGACGGCGGTCTGTAAATAATTGAGTCTGGACCAGACAATCCAGTGATTGATATCATGAGCATCGATCCACGCACAGAGCTCTGAATGCTCTTGATGGAGTTGACACTGCACTTGTAGCAGCTGGCATGGGACTCAGTGTAGCCGATGTTGGTTTATTATCAACTTTAATCGCCACGCCTATCGTACTTGGTATGGAAGTAGCAGCCGGAGTCTCAGGACTGGCAGGAATAGCTCTTAAACTTATTTCTTGTTAGTTGCAAAAGAAAGCATTAAAACATGTTATAGCTAAAATGGATAGAATTATCATTAAACCGCCCGCATGTTATCAGAAGTGAGCAGGCCACTGTAACTTGATAATGCCCTCATATTGCTTGATGACAGGCCATTATCACGTCGCTTGTTAGGTGACGTCATAAGATAGGGATAGATGACGTCACGTTTAATGGTGACGTCATCTGGTTTGTTCTATGACTTTTCCATTTTTATAAAAGTCGGTCAGTGACATTCGTGTTGATTGCAGTAAATGTTTCAAAACGGATATTGTTGTATCTTTTTATTTGATAACAAATTCCATCCATTTTAGCTATAATAATGGTAACGCTATTTTTCAGGGCATTATCATTTGCAGAAGCCCTCGGTCATGTCAACTGCCCCCCTTCGTTGGGCAGTTAATGGAAGACCTCATGCTTCTACAAATGATAATGCCCTGAAAAATAGCATTACCTTTTTAATAGTATTTGTGTGTTGGCTGAAGCAAAGTTAAATAGCATTGAGGATCATATTTCAACAGCACTGGCTGATTGCAAGATATCCTAGGAGGAGTTTGGTTTAGTGTTGTCAGAACACACCATATACAACGCAATGAAGAAGGAGATTTGATCAAATGCCCGTGGCATTCGTTAAGACGAGAAAAAAAAAGTACATAGAACTTGGGAGACATCAACTGTCCCTAACAGTTTCAGAAACATTTAATTTGTATGCAAGAGATGCCTTCGTAAAGTTCTGTAATCTCATCATCAAAGCTGTTGGGGTTATGGCCTATAACATCATATCGTCGCCAAAAACATCTGATATCAAACTACTGTATTTCCTCTATTAGACGCCAGGTGGTCTATAAATAAGATGTTGACCCAGAGTGTACAAGCGACCTGGCTTGTATTAGAGACCCATCATGTAATAGAGGAAATATCATAAAGTTTTACACTTAGTAGTATAGGTAATGATGGTTCTGGACCACTTCCACTGGAGCCAGATTTATATACCTACACTACTGCCTAAAAGTTCATTCCCCTAACACGCGTTGAGAACGTGTGTAACACGCATGTGACACGGGTGCTCAATGGGTTGCACACGGGGTGAGCACCCGTTGGACACGGGTGTGCAACGGGTGTGCAGCGCGTGTGCAACCCGTTACGCGTGTGCCACGCGTGTAACACGGGACCGGGTTCCAGTTGAAGTTGACAAAATTATCAAATGAATAGTGAGATAAAACAAAACAGTGAGATGTGAAATTTGAGTTAATGAGCGGCCATTGAGCTATGTTCACCAGACCGTAAATACAAGGTCGGCCCGTCTTAATTAGTGTTCGGTTGTTAGACTTTTATGGCATGAACCATTCCACTAGGGTCTCGTCTAGCCATTGTGGCTAGCCGACAGTAGAACAGTAGTGAATTTAGATGCGAGTTTATTGCTAGGGGAACCCCCGTGTTGACACGATTGTCGCGGGTTGGTAAATGTTCGCCATTAATAAAATGAATGTTTGTGGATTGCGAACATATTCATTTGCCCACGCTAGTCATTCCATTTGATTGCAAATATAACGTTTTTCGTTCGCCAAATTTATGCTTTAGACAGTACAATTATGATATAGCCGTCACCACTACTAATGTCTCATTATTTCACGTAGGAATATGTCCCATTTCCCCACACCCCACTTTCTGTTTTGTATTTTGAAAGAATAAATATAGAAGGTTTTGTGTGGAACACTTTTATACTAATTATAAGAGGATGTTGTAAATGAATATGAACAGCCATGCTGTCTGACTGTTGATAGAATTTGAGATCTTCACAATCACCGGGTGTGACCATGTAGACAGAATCTCGTTAGGGTTTGTGATTTTTACATTTGCCCAATGACCATAGTGAGTATTGCTGGGGATACCAAACGTAACAGTTTATTATTAGAGGTTGTGAGTACCTATACCACGTAGAAAGGATATCTTTAGGATTTTAATCCTTCTTTGAGAGGCATTTAGAAGTTGGAGTACTACGTTAGGATAAGATTTATGGGTGACTTTAATCCTTTCTTTCTCTGTGGGTAATCCTTTCACATTGATTGGAGGAAGTCACTCAACCAGGTCATGACAGGTCGTGAGTTTACTCACTAACTACTGTGAGCGTTTTTGGCATAACATCTTTTCTTGTATAAACATAGAAACGATGCTCACTCACTCACTGTTAATCTTCTGCAGTTTGCTGGCAAAGTGGGGATAAACCTCAGTGTCAAAGACGATCAAACTTAGTTCGAATCCTTGTTTATATGTGACATCTCCCAAATGGGGACATTTTCATAAACTTGGCAAGTGATGTTGAATTTTAATATTAATATTATTATAGTTTATGAAATTGTTAATAAAACTTTAATTGTTTAATTGTGCTTCACTCTCACGAAAAATATATTGTCTGTGAGTAAATTTATATGTCACGTTTCATCGGCATTTTTCAGTGATATTGGGACTACATGAAACATGGCTGGTTTTACATTTCTGATACAGGTGCTTGACTGACTGAGTAGTTCATGATCAATTAGATATGTTTAAATCAGTCAAGTTTGCAACAATAGATGAATAAGTTGATACATTTGGACCGCAGTTACCGATTAACAACTTAAGACATAGAGGCAGGGAGGAGATATATAACCAAACCTATGGTCCTGTTGAGACAGTTGACAGTTAGAACGTTGGATTAAATGACAGTAACTAATTTGAACATTCCCCAGTAATATCATAAAATACATCATAACTCATAACAGTCCGAGAAACAGCTTCCAGCCATATACTAGTATTGAAGGGACAATCGCTTTTGACAGTTTAAAAATAAACTCACCTTAAGGTGCTTGGCAAGTCAAAACTGACCTCCCTGAATATGTTTTTCAGGTTTGACAGCAACTATGCTTGTGGATTTCAGAGATAGACATGATTTGTTAGCTAGATGTTATTACAATAAGCGAAAATGTCTGAAAAGTCCACAGTTTGTTTAATAGTACAAAAAGTGTGTTACAGATCTATCAACGTTTTCTTTTATTGAACATAATATTTGCACTTTATTGCTGTTAGCTGTAAATAATCTAGCCTCCCCATGTACGTAACTTACATATATTTATGTATTACCAGAACAGCAAATAATGTTCTGGTAGATAGGTACCTCGGAGATTTAACGTGCGCTTTCCGACTTAAGCCTATCTCGCACACGGGGAAGCACTTATACTATTAGGGTAAAAAAGCGTAATGATTAAATAAAGAAGTGCACCCCCCCCCCCAAAAAAAAAAAATAAGTTTACAGCCTATTCTAATAAAGTTAAGGGGGTTGGGGTTTGGCTGGGTGGGAGTGGGTGATAAAAGAATATTCAATAATATGGAAAAGTTTGGGCCTGGGGGTGGGGGGGCAAGCGTGGGAAGGCACGGCGTCGGCTGGCGAGCATGTGTGGCTTGAAGTCTAGCGGCGGTATCCTTCTAGTAGTCTCTTGGTCAGCTTCTCATCCTGGGGGTCGGGATTCTGGTAGAGACTCTTGGCAAGGAGGGCGGCGGTATTGGCGACGAAGTGGTTTGAGGTCGGTACGCCACTACAAGTGGTACAAGTCTGTGTAGTTTGTGATGTCGTACTCGATGTCCTGTCCCCCCTTCTTGTGCACCATGACGAAAGGGACTCCTTGTTTGGCGTAGAGATGTTTCTTTGGGGTGTTGATCTGGTCAACCTTGAGATCGGTCCGGGCCTTGTAGTGGTTGATCAGAATGTCTGACTTTTCCACTAGTAAATAAAGTTCTTTGGTATGACCTCTTTTATCCCTGCTGACGTTATCCTAATGTTCAATTTCAGTCTGCCTCACCAAGCGTAAGAAAGCATTGTACATGTTCTGATAAACCACACTGATGCAATTAAGCAAATGAATATTTGCTGTGGGCAAATATCTATTATCTATATATATATTTGTGGATATGAAGCATTCTAGTTAATTGTGGATACACTGGGCAGACAGAATTGTGTTTATTTCCAGGCCATCCTGATCGTCGTTTACTACTATAAGGTGTATGTTTTGAGGCAAGATCAAAGGCGCCGCACAGCATATATTAGATAACAGACGGGGTCGTCCGTTTCGCTTTAAACAACC